GGTTTCCTCCTGCCTCTAAAACTGGACCTTCTTCCTAACTCCGTAATGTGGTGCTGATTAATAAAGTGTATGAATAAACGTACAGTTATTGGCGCAAATAGCCCGAGTTGCTGAAAGCGCCATTAAAACAAAACAACAACGAACGGATCCAGCCTCGGTAATATGCCACTGTACAGGCCCGTTGCCTGACCAGAGACGGGGGTGGGTGCGTCAAAACCCAAAGTGGAACTTTTGGCAAATACTTTTATATAAAGGCCCATCATAATGTGCTTGGGAATAATTGGTGGCGAACCGATGGATGCCTGTAAGACTTTAGTTTTCAAAACTCAAGTCATATCGTAAATTAGCCAGGTACGAATTTGCTCGTCGCCCTAAATCGAATCAGGCGCAGGGTGAAGAGCGAATGGCAAGAACATTATTACCGTATGTTTCGGACTACAAGCAGCCACACCAAGCAACAAATCTGCAAAATAACATTTAGTCGGCGTATAAGTCGCACCACGATGCTGACGATTAATGTCATGTCATCGCACGCGCTGCGCTGGTGAAACGCAAGTACATGACTTGTAGAGTAGTGTGTGACATACTTCAACGTTCCTTTGACCGTCTTCACATAGTGCTGCTGAACCCCCTTGTTCAAAACTTCAAATTCCTTGGTTAAATAGTGATACGTCTGCCTTCATGATACATATTTTTGAACCTTCGTTAACAATGTCAATGTCATTCGTCCGAAATTCAAACGCGTCGACGTCCGGAAATTGAGCAAGAAGTCAGCTGAGTGTCCCCAACCTGGCGCCCTTCAAAAAAATCTCAGAAAATCTCACAAAAATATTCCAAAAGTTAAAAGTGATAAATTCTAGTAAGTCATTATTACCTTCACTTACTGCCTAACTAAAAAGTAATAAATAAATGGGGCGCGCATTTAAAATAGGGCTTAGTTCATTTTGTACAAAAATGGAAAATCTGGCGAAATAACATTTCGTCCGAACTGTGTACCGGATATGCGAAATCGCCATTTATAAATCAGAATAGGCCTATCTGGGGTTGGATTACATTTTGAGAAAATGTAAACGGCAACCAACGAAAACATGACTGCCTTGTCTGTGCCTGGAGCGCTTGGCCGCTTGCATGTGTGGCTGGCCGGCCCCGGCGGCTGCCCGGGTTATAGGCGGCGCTTAGGCACGGCGCAACGTTTAGCGACTGATCTGATTCTTCAAATGTTGCTGTATAAGAGACATTTTCAGCGTTAGAATCAATGTAGCCTATGAGCAGCAGCTTATATTCCAAAAATTACGGTATAATAAAATTATACATTTATTTAAAAAAAACCACCAACGGGTGGAACTCAGGCTGCACCCAAATCTCTGGTCTAGAGCTGGGTCTTGGTCTTCACTCCATTAGAAATGCTTGGAGACGCGTAGACAATAGACCTAGCCGTAGCTCTGGAAGCCCCTTTCAGACATGGCCTCAGAAGCGGGGGGGGGGGTGGTAGTTCGAAACCCCCCAGCCCACGGGCCTGCTATATGGGTAAACAGAACTCACCTGAGCCCCCAAGTCTGTCGATGGAATTCCACGATATTCGTGCAAGCACCAGGTGAGAGATGAGAGTGGTGCCAAGCAACAGCGGCAGCTCCTTAAATACACCTTGGCATGAAAGGGCAAAGCCGGGGTTTCTAGATCCTTGTCATCACAGATTCCGTGTTAGCAGGAAAATGAAATGAAAGCACATTGTTAATTCTCCATTTAATTTCCTGCGTCACCGCGTACGAGTAGTAAGGCCTATGCATGAACATTTGAAGGGAGATATGGGCCGGAGAGAACCCCCCGCCTTTATGTTGGTCATTGTTTGATCTTCCAACCTTTTCACTGGCTGAACATTTTGGCGGTTTTATGTTTTCAATTGTACTATATGGCCGACTCCGAAATGACACAATTGTTATGGATCCTTGCTTTCACAGATTCTGTGTTAGGAGGGAAAAGAAAGGAAATCACATTGCTCGTTCTCCATATAAAGGACTTGCTGGAATGTAATGTACACTAGGTCTATAATGTAGTTAGAAACTTTGAAAGTAATTCTTCCTCTTTCATTTTCAGCCCGCCGCACACTTTTTGGTGGTTCATTATAGCCGAGGTGAAAACGCAGTCTACGATAGAGTAGATGACTGATGGCTGACCACTTTAATAACAGCGATGGGTCAGCATCAATTATCAAACTCTTGACCAAGACCAGTGATCCTGTGGTATTGGAATGATGTGCAACAGGCTGAACTAATCTTGAAAACAAGATTGTGAGTTTCTGCTTTGTTTTTTCATTGCAGATTCTGGATAGCTTGCTCCTGCCCAACAAGGCAACCCAACAGTTATCATTGACTTTCTCCTAAACTAATCGTCACACATTGATAATCATTGGTATCAAACTGAACCGTAGAACGTAATCTTCTCCAAAATTCGACGGCGTGTAGCGTTGATAGTCTCTATCAAGTAAGACAGCTGCCTTTTTGTTGCGGAACGAGGTGGTAGGATACCAAAAATGTCCGTTGGAGAAACTGGGCATGGACACGGTACATGTACTCTGTCTTGGTTGTGTTTATTCTTATCTCTGCATAGACATTCGAACATGGGAAGCCCTGGTTGGTCCTTGTTAGCCCTGGATAGCCCTGGATAGCCCTGGTTAGCCCGTTCGTCCTTTATCCGGCCATCATTGGTACGGATTTTTCGAGTTCCGCTCACGCGGCCTGACAATCGTCTCGCAGCCTTTTTCTTTGTCATCGCGCGGTGGCGCTCTTCCGATAAAGTTAACTTTTCGCAACACTTTTCGTTCAGTCCAGTTGGATTTAGCATAGCAATCAAGGTACAATGTTTGAGCTATTTCTCTCTGGTGCCCTATTTTCGAAACATCAACGAACGCCATCCTGAAATGGTTCAGTGTTACAGCGGGTAATGTTACAGAAGTAAATACGATTGGCACCTTGTTATAAATTGACTGAGGTAAAGTGCACAGGTTTTTTCTCCACTAAAATTAACTCTTTGACCTCAATGATTAAACAAAAACTGTCTTCTGAAATAGCAGCATTCCGTTTCATCAAGATTAGAACATGAAAGAAGTGCCACAGAAAGAGAGAACCAAAGTAGTTGGGTGATGGATCGGAATTTGAACTGAGTGACTGCATGTACTTGCAAGAACTTCGTTTATGACTCCAATTGGATTGAACAACAAACAAGTTGTGTTCTATTATTGAAAATATCTCTAATGAAAGTAATTGAAAAGTTGTTTCTTTGGGGGGAACTCACAGCGTAATTTTTAATGGAACATCTGAAGTTACTAAAACTAATTTATAAGTGTGACGTTGCGCTTAAATTCGGGGAATCAGCTAACTTATATCAAGAATGGTTGGAATTATACTGTGCAGTTTAAAACTGTAAAGATATCTGATCTTTTCCCAGTCTTTTCAGTTTCTCCTTCTATCGTATCCAATCACCCAGCCGCTTCGTGAATTTCATTTGTAATCCCTACTCCTAGGCATCACCAATTTTTCCCCACAGAGGGAGGCATATGGGGTGAGATAAGGCATAGCACTGGCAGTAAGAAACTATATGGATATAATGAAATGGAATGTGACTGATAAAATGGTCCATTGGATATTAATGGGGACCTTCCAGTAAAGTCCCCTTGCTCAAACTGAGAATCCGGTTCCATTTACAAGGAAAGAGTTTCAGGGAGTTATTCCATTTTCTGTGGGCTCACCTTTGTAAAAAGCCGATTCAAACTGTGCCGATTCAAAACATTCTAACAATTACTAACAACGTCTATCTTATAGAAGTGCACTGAAATGCGTATATGTTGTTTCACTATGCCGACACCTAAACCCCGACACCCCTACTCCTAAAAATGCTATTAAATACTTATTAAAGTAATGATATATACAAAAACGGGTGTCGCGGGAACGGCAAGGGGTTTGTGACTCCCCCAAGAAAACGGATTAATTAAAAATGAAAGGGGGAGGGGGGCGAAAAAGCAGAGATGGAGGGGGAGGAAAATAACTCATTTGATTGCTTCAGAATATACCTTAAAATTAATCACGCTACTCAAGTTCGTCAATATGCTGCTAAGGAATGTAGGGAAACGATTAGATCTGATTTTGCCCCATAATTTACAAATATGACCAATTGAGGGCGCTCGTCTCTTGGAAAAGTTTAATGCCCAAAGTTAACCGCGCTGGCAGCTATGTACGTGTATACATACCGTTTCTAAAAATAGACCTTGTATCCATGCAGCGGAGGGGTACGCGCCATTTCTGTTTGACTTTTGGCTTTTGTGTGACATGTACATGGATAGAGCATGCATGACGTGCGTGATGTCTTGAAGTTGATATGAGGGGAGTTCACGTGTAGCTAGTTGGGGAGAGAGAAGGGAAAAGTTTTTTGGTCTCTTTTTCCCGGTTCCATTTTCGGAATGGAGTAGAGTAACAGCTGGTGCAGCCTTACTTGCCTTCTCCCCTGCAACATGAATGTGGTGATTTGATGTGGAATCTGAATAAGATCATGTAAATAAATCGGCAACTTTCTGAAGGTCTGAACTAGTTCTCTGAGTTTTGTTCGACTGTGATGTACCATGTGTCATCGGTATAGCACCCAGCAGCGCAACTCCGCGCATACTACAGGAATATTCCCCCCCCCCGGTATTTTGTCCCTTTAAGACATCGCCTATATTCAAACACAAGACGATAATTATGTTTCAGCCAGTTCGGCATTCCAAAAGCGCTTACTCCAAATGCAGCGTGTGCGAGGTCATCACCTGAGTGCATGCTAGTAAGTCATAGCCTTCCAGCTCGTAGCTTTCTATTTCCTTTCAAAATTGCAAACTTGACAATACTTGCCACTCTAAGTTTTGGTTGGGCACGCAGTTTGAATTAGCTTTTTACAAAGGTGAGCCCACACAAAATGGAATAGCTTACTGAAACTCTTTTCATGTAAATGGAACCGGATTCTCATTTTGAGCAAGGGGACTTTACTGGAAGGTCCCCAAACATTTCCAAAGGACCATTCTATCAGTCACTTCCCATTTCATTATATCCACAGTTTCGTACCAGCAATCCTTCATTTCAGCTAACTTCAGTACATTGTTGCGCACCCATGCAGAATGGCGGATACTCCATTGATTCTAACATAACTGGTGACGTTATACTCGTCTGGAGAGCCCAACAGCGGCGTATCCGCTTTTTGTGTGAGTGTGTGGGGGGATTCAAAAGCGCATGTGGCTTCTGGCTTATTCAACATTTCTCATTTTCTCATTTTTACTTAATTACACTGATGACTGTTGAAGAAATAACGGACGTGTCACACTACTGCGCCTCCTAGACTTGATGTCATTCCTTATGTATTCAGGCAGCTACCTTTCTACCTGCCAAACATTATTATAGATACAGTAGCAAACCAGCAGTAGTAGAGAAGTGACAGTTCTGGACCAAGCGCCCCTTTTCACCGTTTTCAGCAAAGACCCCTGGGTATCTATACGACCCAAAAATCTCGGGGAATTCCCTAAAAATCTTAAATTCAAGATTTTAGCAAAAACACCTGGGTACCTCATCGACCCCCCTAAAATCTGGCTCTAAATATTATACATTTTGAGCCAAAATCTCTTTCACCCACCACTCGCACCTTTTGACCCCGGCGCCGCTCGCTGGCTAAACAACTCGTGACAGAAATCCCACCCGAATAAAATGAGAAAAATTTAGAAACCTATATATAAATAGAGATATGAGTAATCAGCAACACAGACCAATACTAAAATATTTTACTCGATTTAAGAAGGTGTTTTTAGAAGATTTTGTCAAGCGATATAATGTTCTGCTACCGGCACCTAAAAATAAATATCATACACGATTTGAACTAATAAACGCTATCAAAGAGGATCAAAAACAATTTAGACATCTGCCTCGCCAGTCGTATCGGCGGTTGTTTAAAACGGTACAAAAATATAATATTCCTTATGCAAACAAAGACAGATACGTCAAACAGGACTTTATTGATGCGATTAAAGCTTATACACAACCTCAAGAACTCGAGGAAGTAGACATTAAACGTATATGGCGTTTTAAAAATAATTTTCGTAATTGGGAGTTAATTCCTCGCTTCTATGAAGACGACCTCGTGCACTTTTTTGATTTTTACAAGCAGTTGATAGAGAAAACAGCGCTTGCCGAACTCAAAGAAATCGGG